CCAGTCTGTATACAAAGAATTGGAAAAGAATAGGTTTTCTTTTCATTGGCAAATTAGCCACTGTGACCCTTCAGTGCCTAAAGAGTAGTTGATAACTCACATCCCCACCCCCTGAAGTGTTGCTGGGGTTTTATCATCTGCCATTGGCAACAGACTATCCAAAAGCACTTCTGCTTTTCATAAATTGATTCAGTTGAGTTTGTATATTCGTTACACATTCTGGGAAGCTTCTGCCAACATTTAGTTGATGAAAGGATGTTTATTTTGAGGGTGGTCTAGTGAGGAGAGAGTTGCTGCCAACCTGAAAGCAGGCAGTTCAAATCCATCCACTACTCTGGTGGAGAAATACCGACAGTCTTCTCATGTGCATTTTACAGAGTCTGAAAGTCCATTAGAAGGTCAGCTAGAGTCAGTACTGGCTCGGTGGCAATACATTTTTGAGTTAGTTTATTTTGAAAATGGGTGGAGAGGAAGATATTTCTAATTCTTAAAGCCAAAGAAAGATTTACAATATAGGATACACTTGAGTCGCTTAGTGCACGAGCACATAAATATTCAAGCATTAAGATGAGATCTCCCTTCCCAACTTGAACCTCAAAATCCATGAACTGACTGGTTCAATGACACTCATTTCAGTGAAATTTCTAGAAATCATAAATACGAATCTGATATAGACAACAACTTTTTGTTGTGCATTTGTTCAAAAAGTCTTTTCAAATGCTTCCTTCACAGCAACCCGGTGCCACCGTTCTTATTTATAAATTACACATCTCATCATGCACATAAGTTCTTTATTCCAGACCAGCTTTGGTTTCCTTACTGTTTTGTTTACGTTTCTTCCCCAAAGTGAATATGGCAGCCTTTGTTTTTTTAGAAACCATGTCGTTTACAAAATGGTATCACAGTTATGGAACTGCTCGCCAAGAAGGCTGAGGAAAATGAATTAAGTAAATATATATTGATCATCATGTCGTTGATGTTTTCATGTCTGATCAGTCGGAGGCGGGGGGAAAGCAGGTCATTCTGAACAATTCATCAGATCTGTGTGGTACTTAGCAGAGACATTTTTCTGACTCCCCGGTGGTTTTAAAGGCTATGCAATGGGCGAAACTGCTTTAAACACAACTTCATTTTAAAAGAAGCCTAAGTACACAATGGAATTCAAAGAATTTGGAGCAAAGGGAGGTGAAAGTGTTAGCAAACAGCTTTAAAAAGGCCCTGGGAAGTTTTAAAGAATGAAGCACTTAAAGGATGTGAAAGAGGAATCCAGCTAAACCCCAACTGGAGATGCAGAGAGGAAGGAGGCCCCATTGGCAAGTGCCTGCTAGACCCCTACTATGTGCAGTGCTTGTGATGGAAATGTAGACTCCCAAAGTTTGATGGGAAGTCTGAGGAGGAGAAAATAGATCAAGAAGAGGGAGCTTTTTGGTTGGTTTTTTTCCCTCTCCCACACTGGAAAAGAAACTGATATTTTCTGTAGATATTAATTTCTAAGTGGTAATGGATATTTGTAGCTTTAGTCCAGCAATGAGGAGTGTAAGAGAATTTTCTCCTGGGTAGTTTATTTTAAAGTTTAAAAATATTGAGAGTAAATTGAATCTCCCCCTAAATAAACGGTTAAAAAAGTGTTCATTTCATAGTTGGTATTCGGGAATTCTGGGTTTTACCTATTGTACGTGGTGCCTTATATCCAGACTCCTTTCAAAAGAAATTGTTTGGTACATTTGTTAGTTTGCACATGACTACATTTTTTTATTAAATTGGGAAGAGTGAAGTTAGGTAGATCATAAATGAAGCTTGAAGTGGTTTGTATCTATGATGGTTTAAATTCAAGTCTAGGCGAAAATGGAAATTCAGATGAAAGGAGGATTCTAGAATTTGTTTTTTTGGTTGGCTAATGATATGCCTGGTAGTAGGCTGAGGGAATAGAAGAAGCTATTATGCTAACACAGAAGTTGGAACAGTGACAGCAGAGCTGATAGGACTGCAGGAATTAGGAAGGGTGACTGCTGTGGGGGAGTGGGGGTTGGGAGATGAAAGAGCAGAGGTAGTGAGTAGCTTTTTCACAAATGCTTGTCTTACAGGGTTCTGGTCTTATAACTCAACATCCAAACTGACTGCTGGTGATTCAGTTCCGAGTCATAATGACCCCCCCCAACCCCCATCAGTTTCCAAAGCTGTGAATTTTCCCGACTTTCCACTTTTCTCCCAGATTTGAACCATCTGAGTTGTGCTGTCTTTTGTTAGCAATGCAATCGATATACTGCACCATCCTTATTATTCTTTACATTTTTATCATGCACGTTCTAATTTTCAGGTACCATTTGGTTTTTGCTAACTCACTGAATTTCAGTTGAGGAAAATGCTGCTATTATCTTCTTCATGGTAAGGAGAATGCTGAGTCCCAGAATCGTAAAGAACCATCCAAAGGTTAAGCAGCCAATAAGAAATATTATTGTTGTTAACTGTCGTTGGCTCCAGCATGACTCACAAAGACCCCATGAACAAGAGATCTGAACTGCTTCCTGCCCTGCATCGTCCTCGTCAACCCTGACCCCTCTGAGTCCATTGCCTCATTGAGGGGCTTCCTCTCCTTCTCTGACCTTTCACCTTTCCAAAACCTGCAGTGCAGACTTAATATGTTTTAAGCACTTTTATAGATTTGACTGACGCCTGTACTTTAGAAAATAATAATAAAATGAGTATCTTTGTTGGCTAAAAATATCGTAATGATATGTATAATTACAAGTTATTGGAGGTCCTTTTATAATTTCAGTTTGTCATAAAATTGCATGACAGTTTAGGGTCATGCTTTTAAACAGGAGATAAATCTGTTTCCCCAAGGATTTTTGGCAATGTCTAAATGCATTTGCTTTTGTCACAACTGGGAGTTAATGGTACTAGTATCTCGTAGTGAATAGAGACCAAGGATTCAGTGAGACATCTAAAATGCAGAGGAGAACCCATAACAAAGGAGTTTCTTGTCTGAAGTGGCAATCATGCTGAAGTTAGGAAACCCTCAGAGAACTTGACAGAAAATCTTGACTCCAAAGAGAGAAAGGTGACTCAGTCTCATAAGCAAAGCGCCGTTGATATAAAGAGACATTGTGGGAACCTGGAGAAGGCTAAGACACTCCTTCATCCATTCATGGACGTATTCTTTATAGAGGACTTGAAAGCAATAATGTGCTCACAGTGCCATAGCCAGTTAAGTGTTACAAAGTCGGCGGTTCAAACCCACCAGCTTTCCCACAAAAGAAAGATCAAACAGTCTGTTCCCCTTAAGATTTACAGCCTCAGAAGCCCAACAGAGAGTCACCATGACTTGGAATTGACTTGAGGACAGTAGGAGGTTGTTGGTTGGTTGGTTGGTTTGGTTTGCACATTTGGAGATATTAATGGTGAGATAAACCAAAGATGCTTAGCCAATGAAGAGAAGTTATAGTCATAGCTTCTGTGTGAAGAACAAGCCACTGCCTTTTATCAAGGAGGGGGTTTGTCTCTTACTTTACAGGTATAAGGAGAATTGTGGGAGGCAAGGATCTAGGCCTGATTTTAATTGCTTTTTTGTCAAACTTTCTTCTAAGTGGTATAGCACTGGTCTGTCCATTTGCTGTATGGAGGTAACTCGTGGTTGCTGTGATGCTAAACACGGTGACACTGATGTGTCAAATGCGAGAATGGTAACCCATGGTGGACAGTGTTTGGTGGAGCTCCCCGATGAAAACAAGCTTGGAAGCAGGAGTGGCAGCCATTTCCGAAAGAGCTTGCCTAGGGAAATTCTGTGAGCTTGGAGAAACGATGGAAGTTATGCAAGTGTTCAGATCTTTTATTCATAGGGTCGCTAAGAGTTGTCTACGACTCGTAGCACTTAACAACAACAACAACAACAAGGGATCTAACAGTTAGAAGCTTCATCCTTCTCAGAGGAGAACCTAGTAACTTTTTTTTTTGCTACTATTTATTACTGACTGACACAGATCAAAATGCATAGCCCGAAGGAAAAAGTCAAATGATGTTCTCATAAGCAACATATGGTCGTAATCTCTCTGTGTGTGTGAGTGAGTATGTCCGGTGTGTGTGTGTGTGTGTGTCCAGGGTGTGTGTGTGTGTCCAGGGTGTGTGTGTGTGTGCACACGCGTGTGTGAGTATGTCCGGTGTGTGTGTGTGTGTGTGTG